TAAGGAAATATAAAGATTTTAATAATACTATTTTAAAATGTTGAATATTCATGAACCCATGTTCAGTTATTGAAATACACATTATTTACCAGAATATTGCCTATTTATTCACAAAGCACATCTCTGTGAATAATAAATTCTTTGACCAGAATGCACCTAAATTAGCAATCAATAGCAAAATATCCTGTCCCCTGAAAGTAAGAATTCCTATAAAGATTCAGACTAGGATCAAGCCTTGGGATCATAGGTATCCTGCTGAGGACATTGTGATGAACCAGCCTGTCCCTGTGCCCTCATTCTCATCTCATCCATGGCTTTCAGATGGTGGTTTGAGAAAGACCAATCAAGTGCTGTGTGCACCACTGGCTGAGACAGCTACCCTGTGAGGGCAGAAGATGACTCCAAACCATGCTCAGAAGGACCTGGGCTTTAGGATTGTTGACTTGCTTTCGTTGGCTTGGGCTGTGCCTGCTGACCCTAGCATGGGTGTCCTGCACAGACTCCCCCAGTGGTCAGGTATGTGAATGCCTTCGGTGCAGATGACGACCTGGGGCAAACCCAGAGAGAGCATGGGGTAGAGAAATCCAGCAGTGTGAGCACTGGCATCAGACACACTTCTGGGCTTGGATCCACCCTCTGCCACCCTTTTTGAAAGAGGTGCTTTTACCTCTGCAAATAACAGTTTCCTTATGTGTAATTGAAAAGTAATAATATCTACCTTCAAAAGTTGTTAGGAATAAGTAATGTAGGCTAAGCCCTGAGGTGCTTTGAAGGGGTCAGTATCCTTCCAATATAAACAGCAACACTGCTGTGCTGATATTTGTGATATTAACATGAGGGACACTTTTCTCCAGAGCACTAAAATGAACCAACCATAAAGGAGGGCAGACAGGGAACTGGATAGTGAGGGAGGCTGGCTTTGTGGGGCTTCTGCTCACATTGCCAAGTGCTTCATTTAGCCCTCCGAAAACATGCAGCTCTTGCTCTCTGTGGCATGCTCCTGGACTCCTGTGAGAATTTTTTTCTGACCATTTCACGCTGTTGTTCCTGTGTATGTGATTTGTTTATGTTTTCTGTTCCTTTGTGTGAAGACTGTTTAGCTGACCGTGGGACTTCTCACTCGGCATTGTGTTCTGAAAGGAACCAAGATTCCCCAGTAGGCTCAACTCCAAGTAGCTTTCCCCGCCACTCTGCGGCTCTTTATTATTTCAGCCTGTGCCTTTTAAGCTCCCTGTTTTCTTAGGGGCATTATCACACCAGAGTTTCACTGCTTGTCGAGTTTACCTCTGCATTAATGTCTCTAGGCGGATTGTTCTCTGCTGAGTACTCACGAAGGAGGTCCAACATTCATGTTCTACTCTGGGCTTTCTGATGACACAGGAGCCTGGGTTGCATTCAGTACACATCTGTTGATGTCATGTGACTTGACTAGACCATAAAACAATAAACACCTTTTAATAGTTCCTACTATGAACCAAGTGCTGTTATAAGCACCTTACACAAATGTAATTGTCAGCCTGGGGATGGTGGCTCATGCTTCTAATCCCAGAACTTTGGGAGGCCAAGGTGGGAGGACCTCTTGAGGCCAGGAGTTTGAGACCAGCCTAGGTAACATAGTGAAATCCCCTCCCTACAAAAAA